AAGAAAAACTTATGGGAAGCACTATATAACTTTTCTAAGAATGATTTTTAATTAGACACATTAGTCTGCTTTAGAGAGGGAACACTGGACAGAATGTGAGAAAACCCTTTTGTGGCCACATGTTTCATGTTAAAAAAAAGCCTTATTCTGCCATCTTCATAATCCTATTTTAACAGATGTTAATGATTGAAAATAAAAATATTTTCCGAATTAAAAAAAATTAGCTATTGCCATGCTGGAAATACTACTGAGAATACAGAACTATATTTTTCATTAAATATTGTTCATAGTGTTCTTTGTAAACTCTCTAAATAAAACACCTTTTTGGACAACGACGTATTGTAGCTTCAAAGATCCTGTTTCAAAGATTTCCAGAAACTGGTTTTGTTGCTAGAAGGTTGTGACAAAGTTGCAATAACGCTGTATGGGGTACGCTACCACCGAAAAACTGAAAAGCATAACGGAACCAGACTCATCCAGGTCCCGGGCTCGCATGATACGAAAACCAATGCAGAGCCCGGATTACCGTCAACGTCTGGCTTTTAAGGGGGAACTGAAAAGGGTCTGGAACAGGAAGCAGGTGCGGGGAACGATGCAAACGAGGAAGGGCTGGAGCGCCCTTAAGAGGAGGGGTTTGCGATCGTGACACTTTATGCTGCGTGTACATCTGTAAACCACTGCAGAATGAGAGGAGGGGGACAAGTCAGACACAAGCGCCAAGCGCAACGTGTCAGCCCCTCCCGCTTGCAGGAGAAGATGCAGAAAATGTGTGAATCATTACTTCTAAACCTTCAGATCTCTTATTAAATTAGGCATAAAGCAATAACAGGAAATGGCGTAGGCTTGCAGGTTATCGCCACTTTAAAACAGAATTAAACGAATTACTTCCGATTTCCTTCGGCTAAAGAGGAAGAATGTGTGTCAGTCTTTGTTTGTTCTGTTTGTATGTACAGAATGAGTGGAGTTGTAGGATTCCCATATCTCACACGTGCACTGTCAGTCTGTCGTCTTCTGCTGGGTAAGTGACTTGTAGTTGCACTTATAGTTTCAATTGTAGGGGATGTAAAGATGTGTGCTTTGAACATGTCATAGTGCAAAACCATTGCACCATAAACACTTAAGAGTAAATTGAATTTGTAAAAAAAAACAGCTGTGATTGAATTATTATATAAATTCTAGCAAATTGCAATGCAGTTTCTCAAAGGCAACACTTCTTCAAACCTTTTCCAATACTGTTTAACTGGCTCATATGTATTGCATATGTATTCTGATACTGTCTAAGCCTTTTGACTCAATGCATTAAACCTCTCAAAGATGATAAACTATTTTGAATAAGGAGCCATTATTGCCTACAGTATATACTGCATGCATGGAAATGGAAATAAAGAATCCCTCTAAAAGTCCTTAACTTACATGTGTACTGTAAGAAGTTTATTTTCCTTTAAACTTCCATGCTGAACTTTCAAATATTTAGTACATAAGACAAAAATGGATATTTGTAAATTTAAGTACACACATAGTGACTTTAGTAGCATGTCATATAGAAACTGGTCAAGCCATTTTCCTTTGTGTTATTTTCCTTAACTGTATGCAAAAGTCGAACTAC